AGCCTGGTACTTTTACCTTACCCTACAATCCAACCCCTCAGGGTTTTCTGCCAGACAGTTTATATAAGTCATATACGTTTTTCTTGGCAATAGAACACTGCAGCCATGGCCCACAAAAACAAATAATATACATCACAATAGAACAACAGAATACATAAAATACAACAGAACACAAATAATTCCAGGGAGGGCACCAACCTAGTGGTAAAAGACAATTATTGGCACCAGCAGACGAGCCACCAAATCCGCTGCCGAAGGCACTGCTCATTCAAGGGAGGGGAGGGGAACCACTCATGGCATGTACTGTCACACACCAGGAGCCGTCAGGCTTCCTCGCTTCTCTGGCTGTAGTCTCAGCCACCAGCTACACACCGCATCCACCCCCAGGATGCACTCACCCTAGGATTGGCGATTCTGTACTGTTGGGGGTAATCGTCAACCCTCAGGGTTTCTGTCTGCGGTTGCTCCAACACTCAACTTTCATAGCCACCAATGCGACACACAGACCCCTGCACTCAGGCCAACCCACTGCACAAGCACATGGATCAGGGATCCAAACTCTACATGCAGCCTATCTTGGGTCCCCTCTTTGGCTAGGGCTCCACCCCAAGTGTAGGGTCAGGAATGGGCCACAGTGCAGGTTTTCTGATCCAGCAAACCAGGTAAAGGAGGAGTCAGAGTCCTCAGTGGTTTTTTTCAGGTCTTTTATTTATGGCAGACAGGGGTGCTGGGGGGCTGGGAGGCTGGCAGTCCTCCCAGCCCTCAGCAAATCCTCACTCTATCTGGGCTCTCTGGCGTCCGTTTGTTCTTGGCTTCTGCTTGCATCCCCGTGATGCCGCCCTTATAAACTCAGTCTCTCAGCCCAGGTGTACGCACTTCAGGTGCCCGCCATCAGGCATGCATTCAGGACCACAGGGTTCCCTCATCTATCCTAATGGCAGGAGGGCAGAAAAGCCTAATAATTTTTACCTTACCCTACAGAGATATTCTATGGGGTATCTCAGGAGATCTTTTGAGGTTCCCACTGAACTTCTTTTAATCAATTAAACCAAGAAAAAGACCACCAACTTTTTCCCTAATTCAGATTTTTTGGGAGACTCTGTCTGAAACACTGGGGAAAAACAGCAGTAAAAACGACAAAATGATGACAGGTCTAAATCTTTTTCACGTTTTATATTATCCTAATCTTATAAAACATTTCAATTCCATGACTGGAAATTTCCCAATTCCCATTTCACTTAATGCTCAAAGTTTTTTTTTTTTTTTTTTTTTTAAAGTTTTTTATTTATTTGTTTGTTTGTTTATACATGCACTGGGTACAGTCAGAAGCGCGGGAGGGTGAGAGAATTCACCAGAGCCAGAGCGGGGAGCAGAGCAGGCAGAAGGACCAAAGTACACTGCTGAGGGGAGCAGCGGGCGGCAGGAGAGGTCTGCGCGCCATGTGGGACCCTCCTCCGGTGGCTGGGGAGCAGCCGGGGATCGAACCGGCGCTGCAGAGGCCGCGGGCAGCTTCGCAACCCAGCGCTCAACCGCTGCGCCACCGGGGAGGCCCAAAGTTTTTTTTTTTTTTAAACACTGCAGCGTTTAATTTACATAACAAAAATTTAACCATTTTCAAACCAAAGATTAACTCTTTAATATAGAAAAACCCTATTTATTTGGCTTAAGTTCTCACTAAAACATACATGTTCCAAGTGATTGTTATCTATTTTTTCTTAATTTAAAATTATGAGGGACTAGGATGGTGAAATAAATGGCTAAAGCAAGTCAAAGATTTAAGATTGAGAGGATCCTGGAGCACTGAAACCATGTTTATCATAAACTCAATATTCCAACTCTTACCAAAACTCTTTGTTCTATTTCTCAGTTGCCTTTTCACAACAAGTTACTGGTATAGACAAGTGAATAACGCATACTTGCCTCACAACATTCAATTTTAGGTCACTACAAAATTATAGAGCTTCCCAAAATTCTATATCCAATGAACAATTTCAAGTCATCTGACACTGTTATTATATTCCTCTTGCCTGTAACACCCTTGATATTCCTTTGGAAATCAGATTCAAGCCTTTTCTCTGTAAAGTCCTTCGGTAAAACTTCCTTGTTACTTTTCTTAGCACACTAGAACTGACTTGAACTGTTTATTTGCTTAAAAGTTTGAAAGGATAATCAGCTTAAGGAAAAAAAAAGTCCCAAATCAATGATGACTTTTATTATTGCATCTTAAAGATGTATCACAAATAGGTCTAAGAAATCATCCATTATCTTGCTGGTCTGTGGCCGGACAACTTAAATCTTATTCATCAACTTGCTGAACTGTTCCTTTTTCAGAAACATAGATACCATCCAAAAATTTCCTGATATCCTTGTTTTTAACTGTCATGGCTTGCTGAATCAAAGCAGCTGAATTTGATACAAGTTTAATGTCGTTTCCTTCAAGAATCAACTCATCTTTCTGGGCTTCAGATACTGAACAAGCAACACCTTGTCTCATCTGAACCCTGCGAATGTATTTTTTGCCCAAGAAACTTTGGTTTTCAACGAGAGACCCATTCTCCTGAATAACAACGTTGATAGGGAAGTGAGCATACACAGACCTCATCTTATAATGGAAGCCCAGTGTAATACCCTTGATCACGTTCTGTACATGACTACAGATAGTGCAAACAGTAGCCAGTTCCTTTTTATTTCCCCACCATTTGTCAACCTGGAGACTCTTTTTCTTCCCAAGCAGACTGAGTTGACATTGATGTGATTGAAGTCCCTCTGCAGGGTGCCTCTGTGGCCCTTCACAATAACAGTGCGACCCTTCTGAGGAGCCAGGAGGCTGGCAGGCCTCCCAGCCCCCAGCAAATCTTCACTTTGGGCTCTCTGGCCTTCTCTCGCGTTCTCTCTGCTCCTCTCATGGCTCTACTTCTCTCTCAGCTTCTCTACTCCTTCTGCTTCTCTCTCTTTCTTGGCATCCCTGTGACTCCACCCTTAAAAGCCAGTCTCTCAGCCCAGGTGAATCCCAGCCGTCCGCGAGGGTCCCACATGGCGCGACAGACCTCTCCTGCCACGCCTGCTGCTCCCCTCAGCAGTGTATTTCGTCAGTCTGCCTGTTCTGTTCCCCACTCTGGCTCTGGTGAATTCTCTCACCCTCCCTTGCTTCTGACTGTACCCAGTGTCTGTATAAATAAATAAATAAATCTTTTAAAAAAATGGTTTAATGATGGAGCTCACAGCAGTTTGGCCACTAACTCAGAGAGCTGATCCTGCCCATCGAGGTGGACTGTGCCAAGAAAGGGGAGCAAGAGTGCCACATTGTTGTGCTTATAGATGAGGATTCCAGGATTGGGATGAAGACCATGTCCCACCTAACCACCAGAACAAAGCCTGGAAGTGCTTCTGTGAAGGCTCTAGCACCACCCATACCCTACAAGGCCCCAGTAATTGTGCCAACCATTAGGTAAATAAATGCCAAAAACAGTAAAAGAGAAAGACTTACACGTAACAAAAACTCCAACTACAGGAGAGCAAACCCAAAGGCAACAACAGGGAGAAAGAAAATACAAATCATCAAGCAAGCTTTCCAGGGAACAATACACCACCAAGAGAAAACAAAACCCCAGAACCAAGCCGCAGAGATATGGAAGAGCTTCTTTACCTATCAGATATAGTATTCAAGATGACCATGATTAAGAAAACTGAAGAATGGAAACAATACAAAGTAAACTCAAAAAAGAAATAAATACTATAAGAAACACAATCAACAAACAATACTGAAATTGAAGCAAAAGAAAAAAAATAACAGAATTGTAGGAGGAAGCAAAATATTCAGGAGTAAGCCATGGGAATAGAATAAATCAAATGCAAGAACAAATCAGTGATGTTAAAGATGAAAGAGGTTAAGAAGATAGAAAAGACTTCAAAGAAATAGAAAAAATATTGATGAAATTCATATGGAGCCACCAGAAACCCCGAATAGCCAAAGATCTCCTGAAAAAAAAAAAAGAAGGTAATGGAAGTATCACACTCCCAGACTTCAAAACTATACTACAAAGCCACAATAATCAAAACTGCATGGTATTGAACAAGAACAGACACACAAACCAATGGAACCAAATAGAAAATCCAGAAATAAACCCACAAATTTACGGTCAACTAATCTTTGACAAAGGAGCAAAGAATATGCAATGGAGCAAAGAAAGTTTTGTCAATAAATGGTGCTGGGAAAACTGGGTTGCTACATGCAAAAAAATGAAACTTGACTACCACCTCACACCATGCACAAAAACCAACTCAAATGGACTAAAGAACTAGCATAAGACCTGAAAACATAAAATATATAGAAGGAAATATAGGTAAAACACTACATGACATACACCTCAGTAACATCTTTAAAGAGTCATCACCCAAAGCAGTGATAGTGAAGGAAAAAATAAACAGATGGGACTACATCAAATTAAAGAGCTTCTGTACAGCAAAAGAGATAGTTACCAAAACAAAAAACGTCAGTCACATCCAAAGTGGAAAACAGGGGCAAAAAAAAGTAACTCCAAAGTAGACCCCACACCCTGTTCTCCCCAAAATCACTTCTAAAATGTGGCAGCCTTTAGGTTGTGAGCTTAAAAGTTCGGGTGCCCCATTTTGGAGGTGTTTCCTCCACGCAGACAGACTGCCTGGTTGTGCGCTGTCCGCGCTCCTCCAAGGGGCAGGGGCCTGCAGGGGGCGGGGCTGGGCGGGAGTTCAGTTTCACTCGGAAGTTCACGCTTAGAAACCGTTTTCCCTCCCGCCCAGCCGCCCGCCTCCCCCAGGTCCTTGCCCGCCGCCCCTGGCGTCAGGCGCCGGCCCTAAACCCGTAGGTAACGCCTGTCTCTCTGATGTTGCTGGGAGTTGTAGTTTGCCTGGACCCCCCGCGGTGGCCGCTCGCAAGGATACAGGGCTGCAAGAAACTACACTTCCCAGGCGCCTTCGGGCCGGGGGCGGAGTCGGGCTGGGGGGCGGGCTCGGGCCCGAGGCTTGTTTGTGGCGGCTCTTTCATAAGTGCTGGGGTGACTGGGTCTCTGGATGGAGTGGACTGAGAGGTTCGGCGCCCACGGAGCGGTAATTAGCGGGCGAAGGGAGCAGAACTGTTGGTGTGCCGTCCGCCTTGCACCTAACCAGGGCTGCGGTGCGCGGGAGGGACCCGCTCGGTACCTCAAAGGGACGCGGCACTTGGAGTGTTCCGGCCGCGGTCGAAGCACTGCCTGGCCCAGGTTAACTGTCTTGGGGGAGCCCGCCTGCCGTTCAGGGGTCTTCCTGCCCTGTGGTTTTGACGGTACCAGGAGCTGCTAGTAGCGCAAGTGTTACAGGGCAGCCCCGATACAAAACGGGGTGCCTGACTGTGGGTCCTCACCCGCGCGTTTAAAAGGACTTATCAATACCCTACTGCAGGCACACGCGAAAGGTTAATAAAAGGTTTATTTACAAGGGAAGGAGAAATGAGGAAATGTACAGCTCAGGGAGAAAAGTGGAGGATGCAGTGTATTGGAGAAGAACGTACAGTGCTGTTGCTTCCTGGCCTCCGTGAGCGCCGGTCTCCCTCACCCTTGTCCATTGCTTGTTTTTTGAGGCTTTTTGTGCCTTTCAGGAAGTTATTTTGGGGGGCCTATAAATCTCGTAGGCCAACTGGGTATTTTCCATGGGTTGAGGATGATTTTGAATGAACTCTTTGCATCTACTTTTCTTCTTCACGATTCAAACAATTAACCTTTAAAAAAACATTTTTTTTTTTTTCCAAACTGCTGTGAAGAATGTTTTCCTAGCACATGTGTGCTCTTGGGAGCTTTCAGGCTGCCAGTTTGTTTCAAGCAGGTTTTGCTATCTGGAAAATCTCAGTGCACATAATACTTTCAAGGCATTTTGCTCTAGGTGCTCATTTTACCAGGGCCTTACTATTAGTAATAACTAGCAGATTAAGGTAAAAGAGTGTTTTTACACTTTATCCTGACAGTGAATATACTTTTAGGTTCATAGTCATTAAATTGAAATGAAGGAATGTGGATTTTTTTTTTTAAGTTGGGGAAGTATGGTGGGTGTGTGAATGCTGCATCATAATGGTGGTACTTGTACCTTTTAATGTATTAGGGAACTTTGGTAGTTTCCGATGTTATGAAATGACCTTCCCTTGTCTTCTTTCTAAATTTGCATCTCACAAGATCATATAGATTTCACCTGATTGATTTTTATGGAAGCTTTTCAGATAAGCCTGAACGATAATGAGAGTTTGCTTAGAAGAGACAACAGGAATAACAGAAAAAGTCCTCTAATCTTAGGCATACAGCTCATATGTTTAAACCAGTGTAATTACTACAGACAAAGGTAAAGAACATTCCCTATCACACCCCTTTCCAGACAATATTATCACCCCAACTCCTTGTTACCATGATTCTGACTAACTACAGATTTATTTTGCCTATTCATGAACTTCATGTTAAATATATTATGCATTTGTCAGGCTTTACCTTATCATTCCTTATCTATATTATTGCCTGTAGCAATGTTTTAAAAAAATACCTAAATAGGTGTGATACTTAAAGTGTGATATCAAGGAGAAAACAAATCATCCTGCCATTTTTTGTCTTTGGTTATTAAATAATTTATAATCATTCCTTTTGTGACTAGAAAATCTTTAGTTGGAGTTCACAGGACAGTAACTTTGTAAAACTCCCACAACTCACCCAGGAAGCATTGAAAAGAATGATACCAAGTTCACTGTCTTCTGTTTCTTTCAGCAGTGCTGTAAACTGTGATTCAGAGCATTTGCCCATCCATTCAGCAAAGAAACAAATATTTTCAGTGTGTGTCATTCAGAGGAATGAAGCAACAATAGAAACAGTCTCTTGTTTTAAAAATCCATTAAATGCACATTTTGACCTAATAAAATGACACCATCAGTTTTTCGGTTCTTCAGTCACATTAGTCATATTTCAAACCGTGTATGTCTAGTGGCTACTGTATTGGATAGGACAGGTATATGTAATTGTAATTTTTGTTTTTTTCTCTGTTCTCTATGTGCTGTTCTGTGCTTTGCTTTTGTCAGTTTATCTTGATTACTTTCATATCAACATTTAATGAGCTTGTTCTTTTCAACAATTGCATGCTATGAATAACATAATTAGTTGGTACCCTTCTAATAGACATTAAAGTTTAATTTCAGTTCGTTACAAATGTTGTGAACCTGTGTCAGTATAGCACAGAATGCTTAGATGTGGAATTGCTGAGTCAAGGTTTTTGTACATTTATAGTGTAGATAAATATTGTCAAATTGTCTTACAAAAGATTGTTCCAGTTTACATTTCCAGTTGTTCCAGTTTACATTTACTTTATGAAAGAGTTATTTTTCACATTGAATGATATTTTTAGTCTTTGCCAATCCAGTATGTGAAAAATGATATGCTGTTTCTTTTTTTGTTTATTCAATTGAGGTGAGGATGAGCACATTTTAGTGTTTGGGTATTTGTATTTCTTTTTCTATTAACATCTTTGTATGTTTGTTTTTTAGATTCTAAATATGACTCTAAATACGTGTGTTTGTCTCCAAATTGCCATTTTTCATTTTCCTTTAGTTATATATTTTGCCATATTATGTTGATAGAGTTTAAAATTGTGTCTAAAAAATAGTGACTAATGTTGTTTTGCTTTAGTACTAGATTCTCTCATCTTTCCTCTCCTTGGAGACATGGCTATTCCAATTCTCCTCTCTCTTCTTGCCAGCCTACAAACTTTTACTTTCTGTGTTTAAAAAAGAAAACGAAGAACGCTCTTCACCTTGCTTCTCTGTGTAGCTACCAGTCTATTTCTTTCCCTTTATAATAAAACTGGAAAGCTTTACTCACTGTCTCCAATTTTTTATTCTGTCATATATACCCTTTTATGCTTCCCCACCTTCTAACACAAACTGCTCTAATTAGTCATCACAATTTTTATTTTAAAGATTTATTTATTTTATTTATATAAGCACTGGGTACAGTCAGAAGCGCAGGAAGGTGAGAGAATTCACCAGAGCCAGAGCGGGGAGCAGAACAGACAGACTGACAAAATACACTGCTGAGGGGAGCAGTGGGCACGGCAGGAGAGGTCTGCGTGCCTTGTGGGACCCTCCCCGGCAGCCGGGAATGAACCAGCGCTGCAGGGGCTGCAGGCAGTTTTGCAGCCCAGCACTCAACCGCTGTGCCACCGGGGAGGCCCTTGTCATCACAATTTTGCTAAATTTCAGGGTCACTGCTTAGGAAGGAAGGACCTCATCCTTCATCTGTTAACACCATTTAGCACAGCCCTTTCTTTCTTGAAACTCTTCATCAATCTTCAAGGACACTATACATCTCTGTGTCTTCCCTTAATCCCTTAGTGATCTCATCCAGTGTTAAGATGGTAAATCTGTATGATGAGGATACCTGCAATCGTGCTTCACAGTCTTGGCCAAGAATTCCATTCTTGTGAGTCCAGTTGCCTCTACAGCGTCTCTACTGGGATGTCTGATAGGCATTTAAATGTATTAAATTCATTTCCTGATCTCTCACAATACAGACCTATTTTATTCCCAGCCTTCCTCATGGGCTGAACAACTCTGTTCTTCCAGTTGTTTAGCCAGATAGTATTAAGGAATTAAGGGGGAAGATCTCAGAGACCTCTAGAAGTTTGGTAGGCATTAAAGGAAAAGAAGTTGATTATAGTGTTATAGAGGGTTAGAAAGCTTTTTATGGTGGAGGAAGGGTGAATAGAAGCAAAAGGAGAACAATTAGGAAAGCACATATTCAAGGCCGGGTGGTACAAAGGTATGCATTCCATAGAAAGAATTGTTCTCAGGAAGGTGAGGGAATCCTCAGAGTAAAAGTTACAGTTAATAGGGGTATTTGCTGGTGATGAACAATAGTGTTTTGGCACTGGAAGATGAAGACATAGTAAGGCACTTGCATGGAGAATAGACATTAAGACATAATGAGTGATTTGGGAGATCAGGCTTTCTCATGGCGACTGATGTATATTGGTTTAAACACATAAAGAGTTTAACTTCTGAGAATTCAAGGTAGATAGTAGTGATAGACTGTGAAGACTGGTGAGTTCCTAGAGCAGCGGGCATTTGTAGGGAAGGTTACGAAGGTTATGAAGTCTGGGCGACTGGTTTTACTCTGTACGTTATAACTGTACCACTGACTCATATTTCCCTACCAGGTCCTTAATTTTATTCTCTAAATGAGGCCTCTCTGTCCACTTTACCTAAATTTGCAATCTCCTTCCCTCGTGTGACTTTTAATTTTCTTCTTAGGAGCACTTATTAGTTTTCTTAATGTATAATTTACTCGTGTGTGTGTGTGTGTGTGTGTGTGTATGTGTGTGTGTGTGTGTGTGTATTTTTCTCCACTAGACTCTTAACTGACTAACTGCTATGTAACCAAGGCCTAAAATAGTTTCTGGCAGAGTAATAACAATAGATGGTAGTTGATAAAATAGACATAAAATGGAGGAAGAGCTTATTATTATCTTCTCTGTTTATGTCCCATGAAAGTTTATCTATTGCACAGTGACAGAGAAATACTAGGAATTTGGTTATTTTGGAGTATGATTCATAAGTGTAGTATCCGATGGTATGAATAATGTAAGTTTTATTGTTGAACATTGACAGTGAGTGTTCAGTAGATAATACTTTATAATACTGAATTTATTTTCAGTAACGTAACCTTAGTTCTGATTTAATTTCAACAAGCATTTATCAAGTTCCTTCTATCTGTCAGGCATGGATGGTGTTAGTCAATGGTAAACCTACACATATATTTAAGGAGCTCAGAGTTTGGTGATTATGACCATGAGAGAAAAATACCACTAAAAATGTGAATGCTAAAATAGTGATGTCAGAGATCTCTAGGATTACAGATGATGAAATGCCTGGTGAGGGGTTAGATGGGAGATGGGAAACAGTGCCAGATAAAGCCATGGAGTGCTTTGTTCTGGAACATGGTTGAACTTGAGTTCCCCAGTTGGGCAAAAAACCAATATTGTGTTAGGGCCAGAAGCATGAAAGTACTGAATGTGGGTAATGTCGATATTGACCTTTTCCCCTTTGGTAATTGAATAACTTAGAAGGTGCTTTAGCTCCTGTAGTTTTAGGTTGATTGTGCTAGCACTTATCACTAATTAATGATTAGGTCAGAAGAGAACTTAAGTTTTTTAATTCACTAAATTTGGATATTTTTAATATTAATGCATATAACTTAATTCCTTATTATTTTGCTAGAGTCTTTTGTATGTGGAATCAGTAGATTTTTGTGTTGGGTTGAGATTTGGGTAGAATAACTAACTAATATTTTTTATTGGCTCTTTTCTGTAGGTGTTGGAAATTAATAGCTCTTCTAGCTTTTTTATTATTTAAATATAATAGTGTCATTGGACTAAAATGTTTCTGATGCCAACCTCTTCAGAGTTAAACTGTGGGCAGAACTTAACCCAGTGGATGACCAATCCTTCTCGAGCTGGGGTCATTTTAAATCGTGGATTTCCTATTTTGGAAGCAGATGAAGAGAAGCAAGCAGCTGTGAACATTTCTACAAGCTTTTCTAATAGAGCCACACATTTTTCAAATAACTTCAGCTTTGTAAATAAAGAAGATTCAATTCATGAAGAACACAAGTTGGAGTCTAATAGCCCTTACAAACTACAGTCACATAAATCTGAAACACATACAGTCTTTCCTTTGACTAGAAAGGGGTCACAAGTAGTGACATGTCAGGATGCTCCCAGACACTGGGAAGATAACAAAAATGACTTTAACTCAAATCTTGAGAGTGAATTCAAAGAAGTGACATATAAGGACCCACTTTTTATAAAGCTTGAACAGGTAAGACAGGATTTAGCATAATATGTATTTGTGTTTATGATTCTAGGCCCTCTTGTTTCTTTTCCTATCCTCAATTTACTAAATTTTGCCTTTTGTCTAATGTGAAAAATAAAAACTTGGGTAATAAGTAGAACATAAAATGATACTGAAGATAATATCTTTTAAAATTCCTTCCTCATTTGGCAAAACCCAAATCAGAAATGGTTGATTAAATTTTAGGAGTGGAAAATTGATCATAAATGTGCTGATACTGATATCTATCCTGTTTTAAGAATTAGTGATCCTATGACTCTGTTGCTTAGGTGAGATAGATAGAATTTCCTTCATAAAAATTGAGATTTCAAAGTTTTGATGACAGATTTAGTTACTTTAGACATCCCTCTTTGAAACTCTATTAGAAAAGCTCTAAGAAGAAAGATAGGAGCGATTAAGATAAATGTAAGGGGCCTCCCAGGTGGCGCAATGGTTGAGCGCTGGGTTGCGGGGCTGCCCGCAGCCTCTGCAGCGCCGGTTCGATCCCCAGCTGTTCCCCGGCCTCCAGAGGAGGGTCCCACATGGCACGCAGACCTCTCCTGCCGCCCGCTGCTCCCCTCAGCAGTGTACTTCGGTCCTTCTGCCTGCTCTGCTCCCCGCTCTGGCTCTGGTGAATTCTCTCACCCTCCCGCGCTTCTGACTGGACCCAATGCTTGTATAAATAAATAAATAAATCTTTAAAAAAAAAAAAAAAGATAAATGTAAGGAGCAATTACCATAAAGACATGTTAAGTTGGTTTAATAGAGTTCATTTTGTTTAAAAGCTGAAAGAAGTACAGCAGAAGAAGCAGGAACAATTGAAGAGGCAACAGTTAGAGCAACTGCAAAGACTCATGGAAGAACAGGAGAAGCTGCTTACAATGGTATCAGGGCAACACTCATTACCAGGTACTTTTTGCTTAAGTAGGCCTTCAGTTAGTACACAGAGAGAGTTACATATGTTTCTTACCTTTAGTCATGTGACAGGTTATCTATCATTATTATATTGCATGTTCTGTCTAGACAGATAATTGTGAAATGGTGGAAGAGGACTATAATTGGGACAAGTGGGAGATGTACTGTTCTGGAGGAGGTGTACCCTGATTAATTTAAAAAAGATTTAGCAGAACGTAAAAGGCCAAATTTGACCAAGGAATTCTCGTTTACAACCCCGGCCTGAAGAATGAGAAAGTGCTCAGGTTCATAAAGGTAAAAATGTGTAGCAGTTACTCTGCTAAACTAAAGAACCATATCAAAAAATACCGTCTATGGTGGTAGGTGACAAAATTCTTTTATTGAATGCTCAGCTGATTAATAGAAACCATGATTTGGGCATAAATGGTTGAAATGAGGTCTGGAGTAGTGGTTTTGAAAGTTTGTTTGACCATAGTGACCATAGTGCATCGCAGCAAAAACATTTAAAATCATGCATGACTTATAATTTCAGTGACATCAGTCCTTGTGGATATTTTCTGTTCTCTTTGTTCTATGTTATTATAAAAATATATTGGTCATAATCTGTTGGATCTGCTGGTAAAATTACTACTGGATTGTATCCTACAGTTTGAAAATCACCTTGGGCCATGTGCTTGCTCTCTTGGTGCTACCTCTTAAGAAACATACTTCACTAATTGAAAAAAGTCCTTGTTCTGTTCAGAGATTGTACCAGTCATCAAGAATACAAAGAAGAAAAGCATTAGCAAATGAGTATGCAAATTATGACTAGGTGGGATTTGGGGAATGGGTAGTGAGAAATGTACAAATGAAGAATGGTTTAGGGAATTGGAGTATTTATCTTGGTAAATATAGAGAACACATTGTATCTTGAAATCGTAGGCTACTTCCAGGTTCCCTTATGAATATATAAAAAGAATGTTAGATAACAGTCTCTCTTAGGTAATGGTCTGTGATACATAACAGTCTGTGATCCATATTAAGGTAGAAATAGCACTATAGTAGAGTAACAGCAAAACAGATTTCAAAGTCATTACTATAAAAACTAAGCCCGCTCAATTATGAAATAGTTGCTTTAGGGCAGTGGTATTCATACTTTTTGGTCTCAGGATGCTAATGATTTAGTAAATAATAATATAAATATTGTTATAATCAACACTCTTAAATTATCAAGGACCCCTATAGTATTCATTATGTATACTATAGCTATTAATATTTACTGTGTTATAAATTAAAATGGAGTAAGTTTAAAACTAATTCATTTAAATAATAACCAAGTATATTTCAACATTTTTAAATGAAAAAACAAAAAAAAATTAGTGAGAAGAATGGTATTGTTTCTTTTAAAGATCTCTTTAATTTTTGTCTTTAAAGAATCCAGTTGATTCTTATATTGATTTTTGCATTAATTTCTTGAGTTATGTTTTGGTTGTAGTATGTGAAAAATATCCACTCTCACATAGTTATAATAACTAGAAAAAACAGAAGAGTATTTTAATAGTCTTCAAATAACTGTAGTTATTTCTTTAATACTGCACACAAACTCAACAAGTAGTCACATCTCAGCAGTTATTCATAGTATGGAATCTGAAACATTAATGAACTTTTTTTATACTATTACATTAAGATATATTGAAATATCTTGGCATTTTGAGTGGGTCTTCCTTCATCTATGATTTTATAAAGTTGTACATTGGTTATTTGGTGAGTTATGTTATTCTTTAAAATATTCAAATATTGTATCCTATCAAAACATTCTATCTGTAATACCACTACAGATCTCATAAAACTGTAAATAAAGCTCATGGTGGTGGAAATGTTTTCCAAAATTCTGATTTTTATAATTGGAAACAGTATTACCTGTTGTTTTTCTTAGCGTTACTAGCTTACTTGTTTCATTTTTGAGTAAGTATCTGCCAGATACCAAGGTTTGTTTATTTTTTTTTTTAAAGATGTTGTTTATGCAGGCAGGGACTGGGTACAGGCCAGAGGTGTGGGGGGTGAGAGGATTCACCAGAGACAGAGTGGGGAACAGAACAGGTGGATTGACTGAAATACACTGCTGAGGGGAGCAGTGGGCAAGACAGGAGAGGTCTGCTATACCTTGTGGTAGCTCCCTGGTCAGGCATCGTAACTTGTGCTGCAGTGGCTGCTGATAGCTTCATAGGTTGCATCTTTTTTTTTTTTTTTTTTTTTTGGCATTTTTTATTTTATTTTTTTATATAAATTTTTTTTTATTTTTATATTCCCCATACAATTGTGACCCCCTTATTTTGACCCCAATCCCTCCCCTCCCCACCCCTCACCCCCCATTGAGTGTCTCTGATTCATAATTGTTTGTTGATTTTGATTTTTACTTTCTTATGGTTATTCTTTTTCCTGGTCCCTTATTTAAGTTTTCTAGATTCCCGCTATGAGTGAGACCATCCGGTATTTTTCTTTTTCTTTTTGTTTTATTTTGCTGAGCATGATCCATTCCAGCGCCTTAACCCCTTTCACCACCAGGGAGGCCCCAGGTACTAAGGTTTAAATCATCATAGTGTGTCATTCATTCTTTCAACTGAAAATGTTGTTCTTTAAGAAAATGACTAGTTGAGCTTACAACTTAAACAGTTATATGCCTGTGTCTTGGTTTGTAGCAGGAGTGATTTATGCATACAGTCAGTTCTGATTTCATTGATAGGTCTTGGAAAAGCAATATTAAACATAGCAATCTATAACAAAAGCAGGTCCTCCAGAAATGCCAGTAATGACATGTTTAGTCTTGACCAGGACTCTTTCTCATTGATGTTATAATGAAATTATATTATTGGAGAACTTGGTGTGCTTCACATTTTGACCCATAGAATATTCAAAAAAATCAAGGATTTAATAAAATTAATAATTTTTGCTACTTTAGCACATTCTTAAGTAAAACTTTTTATTTTTTTTTTTAAATAGCAAGTGCATAGTAGTGATGGTGAATGCAGTGACTGCTTGCACCATTGGGTGCTGCTGTCCTGTTCTGCTTTGGATGGTGGCATCAGGAGATTCCATTTTACTTTTGCACCATCAGTGCAATGTCAGCACAATGAAAGTGGAATGTCTTAATATTATATGAAAATAGTTTTTTTTTTTTTTTTTTTAATAGAGGCATGCTTTTATTTATTTGTTTGTTTGTTTGTTTTTGTTTATACACGCACTGGGTACAGTCAGAAGCACGGGAGGGTGAGAGAATTCACCAGAGCCAGAGCGGGGAGCAGAGCAGGCAAAGGACCGAAGCACACCGCTGAGGGGAGCAGCGGGCGGCAGGAGAGGTCTGCGCGCCATGTGGGACCCTCCTCCGGTGGCCGGGGAGCAGCCGGGGATCGAACCGGCGCCGCAGAGGCCGCGGGCAGCTTCGCAACCCAGCGCTCAACCGCTGCGCCACCGGGGAGGCCCCTGAAAATAGTTTTGACCTGGTGAAAGCTCTTGAAAGAATCTTGGAAACTTCCAGGTGGCTTACGGATCAACATTGAGACCTGCTATTTTGGATATTGCAGTTTGATCAAAGACATCGTCAGGCTAAAGTGGATGACCATGAGTGAAAAATATTTGGATGGGGAGAGTATTGCTATGAAGAAAAGGAAGGCAAACCTGTTATTCAATAAGGACCTACCTGATTTCCAGTTTTATTTTTGGGTTGAGTGTAAGGTAGATGGGTGTAAGAGAGAGGTATCATGGCTCTTTAAATGACTCTGAAAGTGTTTAAATTAAATATTTACCATTGTGACTTCTTAGTGGACAAAAGCTGGGAGAACAAAGGATGGTAGTAGAATTTCAAGAAGCTGCTGCAGCAGGCAGAATGAGTAGTATTGTCATCAGTCCTCCAAGAATTGCAATTTGGAGATATATAGGAGGGGAATTTACTCTCTGTTTATTGGGTTATTTCAAAAGCAGAGACTTAAGAAACAAAATAGGCAAAAAGTAATACAGGGTATTTAGAAAGTACAGCAAAATAGAATATAGAAAAGTTATCCATAATTCTACCACATGAGGATAACGAGATGTTAATGATAATATAAAGAGAAAGTCCCTTCACATGCCATGACACAGAGCAGTTATTGATCATTAAGGAACAGTTTAGATCATTTGTACCTGTCTGCAATGGTATTGTCTAACTATTTGTCATGGGTTTGGAAATTGACAACTGCAGCAGTGTTCAGATGGAGCATAGTGGTGCCTTCTAGAGTAAGATGGTGTATATACTGTCTGCACATGACTAAATATACTCAATTAAAACTGTGAAGGTTTCACTTTGGAGTATTAACATTTCTTGATTTTTGTTCCTTCTTACTAACTTCCTAATAAGGAGGAAAAGAATACTTTTATCACTTAGGAGAAGACTCTTTGGTTGGGGTTATTATGAGGCAAGAGAGAAAATGTTATAGGGCAATCAACAACTTTGTTGATTTTCTTCATTGCAAGGTGTAACTCCACTGACTGATGCTCAGAGCCAGACAAATAGATCACCAGGAAATTCAGCCACAGAAGAGAAAACCATGACCTACTTACCATCATATATATACCAGAATCAAATCCAAGAAAAAATGCACACTTCCAACATTTTATCTGATGAACAAAACAACTTCTGTAGAACTACTCATCCAGATTTTGTCTTAACTTCAAAAAGTGATGCTTTTCCCAGTTTGTTTTATGCACAATATCAAGAAGCACTTGTGGAAAAAAATGATTTGAAGGAAGAAAACCATCCTACAGGTGAGTTACCTTCTCTCTTTTGCACTTACCTAACCGTGTTACCAAGTTGTCTTAAGACAAGAGAAGTCCTTTTTACTTTTTTAAAAAAAATTTACAGCCACTGATTCTGGATTGGACATAGAACTGGACAAAGAATTTGTGACTTTCTGAACAATCCCATTGTTCATCTTGACTTCAGATCTTTCAGGGTTCATGGTGCCTTCAAAAAGGGAGGCAACAAATTATGTACATACCATTTTTAGTTAAAAGCTTAGAATGTTTGAGATGACTTACAGTGTTTATGGTGGTGGTGGTGGGCATAATGGAAAATGTGAAATGTGAGAAATATGTTTGTAATGAGAATTATTACTGACAAAGGAAGTACCCCCTAACCTAGACTCTTGGTTTACTTCAATATACTTTTGTTTGTATTCTCAGTGACCAGCATTGTCCTGCCTCAGTGTCTGGTGGTCTAAACACATGGTGTGTTTCTAGCTTATTTTCTTGTCTTTTTAAAAAGAATCCTATTTCTGTCTCTCCCATTCCATTTTTTTTAATATTTTATTTTATATCATTCTTACATCATATTTCATTTTTGCACAATGTATACATTTTCATTTTGGTTACATTCCCCATACAATTGCAACCTCCCTTATTTTGACCCTTATCCTCCCCCCCCCCACCCCATGCCGTAGTGTGTCTCTAGTTTATAGTTGATTTAGATTTTTGCTTTGTATTAGTCTTTTTCCTGGTCCCTTATTTAGGTTTTCTAAATTTTTTTTTTAAAGATTTATTTATTTATTTGTACAAGCACTGGATACAATCAGAAGTGCGGGAGGGTAAGAGAATTCACCAGAGCCAGAGCAGGGAACAGAACAGGCAGATCTACTGAAATACACTGCTGAGGGGAGCAGTGGGTGGCAGGAGAGGTCTGCACCCCATGTGGGACCCTCGCCCGGTGGCTGTGGAATCAAACCGGCCCTGCGGCCAGGGATTGAACTGGCGCTGCAGAGGCTGCGAGCAGCTTTGCAACCCAGTGCTCAACTGCTGCACCACCAGGGAGGCCCTAGGTTTTCTAAATTCCTGCTATGAGTGAGACCATCTGGTATTTTTCTTTTTCTTCTTTTTTTTTTTTAACCCATTTTATTTTTTTATATGTATTTTAATTTTATTTTTATATTTCCCATACAATTGCAACCCCCTTATTTTGACCACAGTCCCTCCTTTCCCCTCGCCCCCCACCACCCCATAGTGTGTCTCTTCATAATTGTTTGTGATTTTGATTTTTTCTTATATTCTTTTTCCTGGTCCCTGATTTAGGTTTTCTAGATTCCTGCTATGAGTAAGACCATCCGGTATTTTTCTTTTGCTTTCTGGCTTATTTCGCTGAGCATGACCCCTTCCAGCTGTTCCATCCATGTTGCTGCAAATTGCATGTTTATCTTTTTTGATTGCTGAGTAATATTCCATTGTGTATATGTACCACATCTTCTTGATCCAGTCGTCTATTTTTGGGCATTTGGATTGTTTCCAAAGCTTAGCTATTGTAAATAGTGCTGCTATAAACACAGGGATGCAGGTGCTCTTTGGAATAATGTGTCTGTGTCATTTGGGTAAATACCTAGGAGAGGAATTGCTGGATCATATGGAAGCTCTATCTTTAATAGGTCAAGAAATCTCCACATGACCCTTCATAGTGGTTGGACCAGTTTTCACTCCCACCAGCAGTGCAGGAGAGTTCCTTTTTCTCCACATCCTCGCCAACATTTGTTGTTGCTAGTTTTTTTAATATGTGCCTTTCTCACTGGTGTGAGATGGTATCTCATGGTAGTTTTGATTTGCATTTCCCTGATTACAAGTGATATTGAACATTTTTTATATGCCTGTTGGTCATTTGTATTTCCCTTTTGGAGAAGTTTCTTTGTAGTTCTTCTGCCCATTTTTTGCCTGGATTATTTTCTTTGTTTTTTTTTTTTTTTTAAAGATTTATTTATTTATTTATACAAGCACTGGGTACAGTCAGAAGCGCGGGAGGGTGAGAGAATTCACCAGAGTCAGAGCGGGGAGCAGAGCAGGCAGAAGGACCGAAGTACACTGCTGAGGGGAGCAGCGGGCGGCAGGAGAGGTCTGCGCGCCATGTGGGACCCTCCTCCGGTGGCCGGGGAGCAGCCGGGGATCGAACTGGCGCTGCAGAGGCTGCAGGCAGCTTCGCAACCCAGCGCTCAACCGCTGCACCACTGGGGAGGCCCCTATTTTCTTTGTTTTTGTTGAGTGTCATCAGCTCTTTGTAGATTTTTGTGATCAGTCCTTTTTCATTAGTGTTGTGTGCAAAAATGTTCTCCCAGTCAGTGGGGTTTCTCTTTGTTTTGGTTATTGTCTCTTTAGCTGTGCAGAAGCTCTTTAATTTGATGTAGTCTCAGCTGTTTATCTTTGCCTTCACTATCACTGCTTTGGGTGATATGTCTGTAAAGATGTCTTTGATGTGCTTGTCATGTAGTGTTTTGCCTATATTTCCTTCTATATATTTTATGGTTTTAGATCTTATATCTAGCTAGTTCTTTAATCTATTTTGAGTTGGTTTTTGTGCATGGTGTGAGGTAGTAGTCAAGTTTCATTCTTTTGCATGTAGCGACCCAGTTTTCCCAGCACCATTTATTGAACAAACTTTCTTTGCTCCGGTGCATATTCTTAGCTCCTTTGTCAAAGATTAGTTGACTAATTTTCATTTTTGATGCTGTGTCCACGTATAAAGCAAGTTGTTGAAAAACAAAAATATGACAAAAGGAGTCTATATATACTAATTAGCATTGGACATTATCATGCATGCATGATATCTATTCTTAGTTTAGTTAATGTCTTGGTATGGAAAGATCAAATGTCTTTTTCTCTGCTTTTAACCAATATACTTTCTTAATCTTTTATTTTGAAAATTTCAAACATCCCCAAAAGTTGAAGTGTCACTGTAGTGATTACTAGTCTACCTTACATTTAGGTTCAGTTTATGTTTTGCCGTATTTATTTCATTTATATAAGTTTGTGGGTGTGTATACCTATATAACTGTCTTTTTACATGTATACATTTTTGTATACATATATACACATGTGAATGTATACATATATGTGTATATATATAAAATTTGTCTGCAAGTAATGTGTAGACATTATGTTAAATCATTTCAAATATTTCAGAATGCATCAAGTTAAAATTAGGAAAGTCTTACTATGTATAACCACAATGTTCTTGTTTACCTAAGGATATTAATAATTCTTTACTATTTGAATTTATTTTAAGATTTCCCCTAGTATCCTAAAAATGTCTTAAAGGTGTTCTTTAAAAACCAGAATCCATTCAAATTCATGGGTTATTTTCAGTTGTTATAGCTTTTTAGCTTTTTCTTAATTTAGAAAAGCTCACATTTTTTCTCCCCATAACATAAACCTTTTGAAGAATATTGTTTTAATTTGGATTTTGTCACTTTATCATATTAAAGAAATCCTTCTTAATTCTAAATTTTTGATATATATTACTTTTAGCTAAATATTTTTTGTATAGTAGCTTGTAACATTCTCAAGTTGTTAAGGCTAATCTAGTTTTTTGAACTCAATTGTTTCTAATTTTCATCCTAGGAGAAGGTACCTTGCCCTGTTGGGAGACAACAATGGAACAGATTCAGGAAGGGAATGATATGAACTTAAAAAAAATTGATGGTTCATCAGAAGTGGTTAATATTGAAGAAAGGTATTATCATGTTGAAAGGAATAAGAAATGTGACAATTTAATATAATAGCTAGACATAATTATCGAGTACTTTCTTTAAATGAAAGATCCATAGTTTTCTTGTTTATGCTTGAATATGCTTTTAAGTGTAAGATACAAGCTATCACATACTGTCAGCAACAGAGAGTTCATCTCTGTTTAATATCAATTAAAATACCTTTGACTTTGTATTAGAAGAATTAAGCAAAATGTTTTCTAATGAGAGAAATCTCTGGCTAAAATCAGTCTTCCTTCAGGTAGTAAAGGTAAATCCTGTTTTGGAGAAGAGAAAAATAAATTCTTGAGTCTCATATTTTGGTGTCCCTTATATTATAAATGATACTTGTGTAAGTTTGATTATAGAATTAAAAATTTTATGACAGAATATATACTGATTGGTTATTATTTTCTTAAATACTCAAAATATTTTAATGTATCTTATGAATGCCTTTTTGATTGTTCTATTCACACATTTAAGGATCTTTGAAAATAAAAAATATGTATTTGAAGTACTATATATGAAATATATTTTAAAACTATATGATGAACTCTGTTACAACCAGTGTTAATCTCTACCAATAGATGGACTTTCTGAAGAAATCATGTGCAGAGTGTTATTTTTCTGTATTTTGGGAAAATGAGCAGGATTATAATGTTCATTAGTATTTCAAAGGGGAGTGTGTGCTTTCGAAAATGTTAGTTCTTAGTGTAGTCAAGACTGTCTATATCATGCATATTATTTAAAATACTCACTGTAATATGACTTGCATGTTAAATAAGTTTCAATTTATTTTTCTGACTAGGCCTATTAAAGCTGCTATTAGAGAAAGGAAACAGACTTTTGAAGAATTCTTAGAAGAACAAATTCGGTTGGAAGAACAAGAATTGAAACAAAAACAGATAAGGGTTGGTATTTCCATTATTTTCATTAAAATATCTAAGCCTTTAGATAAAGATCTGTTTATAACTTACTTAAAAATAACTGTTATTGTCCTCCCCAGTGGCGCAGCGGGTTGAGAGCTGCGCTATGAAGCTGTCCGCAGCCTCTGCAGTATAGGTTCCATTCCCAGCCAGGGAGAAACCCACATGGCGCGGCAGACCTCTCCTTACTCACTCGCTGCTCCCCTCAGCAGTGTCTTCTGTCAGTTGCCTGTTCTGCTCCCCGCTCTGTCTCTGGTGAATTCTCTCACCCTCCTGCGCCTCTGACTGTACCCCAGTTCTTGTATAAATAAATTAATCTTAAAAAAAATTAATAAATAAAGCTGCACAGAAGGATTTAAAAAAAAAAACTGTTATTACTTGGATATACCAGAATTAATTCAAATATTGTTCTTTTATTTTAGGAGGCAGAAGGATCATTGCTAATCAAAGCAAAACCAAAACAACCATTCTTGAAACGAGGAGAAGGTTTAGCTAGATTTACTAATGCTAAATCTAAGTTTCAAAAAGGGAGAGAAGGTATACTAGCAAGTAACCCGAATGTTCCAAAGGATCAGCCTGTGTTTAAAACAGATAAGCAGCAATTCCAGCGTAAAACTGCTCTTATAAATAAAGAACTGTGTACAGAGAACCCTCCTATTAAAAAGAACAACATTAGAACTAAGAGTGGCTCTGTCCTACTCAATCAGAAGCCAAAAGTGCTTAAGAGTAACATTAGGAAAAGTCTCTCTCCATCAGGATTAAACATATCAATGGTAAGGAAATGTGATGGGCAGTTCAGAGACCAGAGCAAATTAGGGAAAAAAGCTGAATCCAATAATAATGAAAATGTAGCTGAGTGTATAAAACCTTGTGATATTGGTTGCAAAGTCTGGAATAAAACACACAGTAAGGACAAACTTCCTCTTTCAGTAGGGCTAGTCAGCTGCATGTCTTCTACAAGCCAGATAAGTGAGGGTGTGAAAGAGTCAGAATCTTCTATTGATATTTCTCTTCAGAAAAAGTTAGAGAACTGGGAACGAGAAAAAGAAAAAGAAAATTTGGAATTAGATGAATTTTTGTTTTTAGAACAAGCTGCTGATGAAATTTCATTTTCCAGTAATTCCTCATTTGTACTGAAGATTTTAGAGAGGGACCAACAAATCTGCAAAGGGCACCGGCTGTCTTCTACCCCTGTCAAAGCTGTGCAGCAAGAGAACACAATGACAATAGGTCCCATTAATCAGTGTAATCAAAATGAGCATACAGACCACACTGAATGTGAAAATAAGAGTGAATGTGAGCTCACACATAAACAGCTTGATTCATCATCCTCACCTGATGGACTGAGGGAACAGTCTTTTAAAATCAGTAGGAAAGCATTACAAATGGCTACTTCTGAGAATCAAACTGGATGGAATGCAAATGATGATGGTGATATGAACAGTGAGAGTAGCACTGATTCTGAGGAACAACTTGATGTTACCATAAAACCATCAACTGAGGATAAGGAAAGAGCTTTCAGCAGCAGCAGAGAAGATAGTCCACAAGTCTGTGATGGTAAGGGTCCTTTTAGGGACACTGAGACTCAAGAAGAAGATAAAAGAGATGATTTAGATTTGAGTGATAAGGATTATGGTAGTGATGAGTCTCTCATATCAGAAAGCTTGAAAAATAAAATTTCTGAGTCTTCATTTCAAAGTATGAATAAAATTGACTTTGATGATGAAAGAACTTGGACTGACCTTGAAGAAAATTCACTTAAGCATGATGTTAATTTTGGGCATGAAGCCAGTTATGGGGCTTCCCAGACAACCTGCCCTAAGAAGGGTGAAATGTGCGTACTAGATAAAACAATAAAAAGGAAGGTTGCACCAGTCAAGAAGGGAGAAGACTTGAGCAAATCCAGTAGGAGCACAAGTCCTCCAACATCAGATCTGATGATGAAACTCTTCCCTTCTTTGAAACCTAAAGCAAAATCAGAATCACACTTGGGAAATGAACCCAAGTTAAACATAAGTCAAGAGCAACTCCCTGGTAAGTCAGAACATTATAAAATATCAGAATATTATAAATTTAGCATATTTTTTATCAGTATGTTGTCAGAATGCTTAAATCCTACCTTTCTAAGTTGCTCAGTAGAAGTCAAATTGGTAAGTGATTGTTAAAATTTGATTTGAATTGTGGGCCAGAATAATGTAATTGTCACTAGAATAAGAGATTTAAATGAATTGTACTTTTAGATTTTTCAAATTAAAATGTCTTATTCCAAAGTTTTAATATTAAGCACTTTACTATAAAGTGAGATTGTGTTTAAATTTCTTTTTTAACCAGAGTGTACCAGATTTATGGTTTGTACTACTGTGGTGTAAATATTTGTGTATTAATACTTCAGTGTACATTAATTTGCTAAATATGACCAAAAAGAAATACAGTAAAATACAAGTTTTTTACCTTCCTCAGTCCTGGACGTCTAGTCTCTTTTTCTAGAGGCACCAGAATTCCCATTTGTTTGTTTATTCTAAAAAGGTCCCATGAACACGAAGGCATATTTTTTGAGTGTGTTTATCATTTCCTTTCTACACAAATGAAAACATGTCTTTTCTGGACTGTTGTATACCTTGCTTGAAAGATTGTTATAACATACACATCTTCCTCACTGCCTTTAATAACTGTGTAGTATTCAGTTGATTGGACTCCTTATATTACTTATCTTGAAACTCTTTCCTGTTATAGCTTGTTAAACTGAGTACTTAGCAAAGCATAGGTGCTTTAAAATGTAAATTACAGCTTAAACTATTTTAAAAAATACTGATTTTAAAAGTAGTACTTTTTGGCAAAGAATTTAGAGGATTAAAATGTATAGAAGCAAAAATGTTAATGACCAGCCTACCCAAAGGCAACTAATATCATTTTGGGATAGTCCAGGTATTTTTAATATAGAGAGACATATATTAAAACTTGTCTCATCCTTTTGACCACGTGTGTAATATGTATTGGGCATATCATTAAAATTCTTTCTATACTTTAAAAAAGGTTACATAAATTATATGAATGTAGCATAATTTTTTCCAGTAATTTTCTGAATGTTGGATACTTGTTTTTCACTATTAGAAATAACACTGAAATGCATATTTTGTGCAAAAATAATTGCATGATTTTAAGTTCATTCTTTAACTAGATTTTAAAAGTGGAATAACTGGGAGAAAAGATACATATGTATGTTTCAGCCTTGTGGTATAAATTAGATTTATTTTCCAAAAGGATAGTTTCCAAAAGTACAGAGCATTAACTTTATCGCAGCAAATTTGAAATGGAAAAATGTCTTAATTTGTATTTCTTTGATTGGTACTTGGGGTTTGATTTGATTTTAGATTATATTTCTTGATTTTAGTTGATAATTCCTTTAGATCTCTTGTGAATTACTTGCTAGTAGTAGCTTATTCTTAAGCTGTTTATATATTAACTTTAAAAAAATTGACTTGAACTATTCCTTTATATATAGTGTTACTTCATTGTCAGATTGATAGCTTTTTGAAGTAGAATGATTTGATTCTTAAATTTGGACTGCTTTCCTCAGGAAGTTTTGTAAGTTTCATTTTTGTAGTATTTTAATAGCATAGGTATTTACCGTATAATTGTCTGTTGGTGTTAGTTTTTTGTTGCTGAAGGCCTTTATTTCAAGTTCAGTACTTATGGCCTGTCTTATAGGTGACAATGCTCGCTCTCAAGTTTTGAGAGAGAAAGTTATTGAATTGGAAACAGAAATAGAAAAATTTAAAGCTGAGAACACATCACTAACTAAACTTCGCATTGAAAGAGAAAATTCCTTGGAAAAACTCAGGTAAGTTTGCATCAGTAGATTGGGAAAAAAACATACAGTGATTCAGTTGAATCTTTAAGATTATTTTTAAGATATTTGAAATTTTTTTTTATTAATCTAAAGGGAGAAATAAATGAAAAGGTGAAATCTTTACCATATAAGAAATTTTCAATTTAATAAAATCACCCAGTCTGGTCAAAGCTGTTAAAAGAGATCATAAATTGAAATTTGAAAAGCTCTTTGAAGCTATGAATTCATGTGCAGTCTTGGCCATTGTATTAATTTGCTAGAACTGACATAACAAAGTATACGCAAACTGGGTGGCTTTACACAGGTTCCAATGGGTTGCCTTTTTTTTTCTTTTTTTAAAGATTTATTTATTTTTATGCAAGAACCGGGGTACAGGCTAGATGTGTGGGAGGGTGAGAGGATTCACCAGAGACAAAGTGGGGAACAGAACAGGCAGACTGAAGAAATACACTGCTGAGGGGAGCAGTGGGCAAGACAGGAGAGGTCTGCTTCGTGCCATGTGGGATTCTTGCTGGCCAGCAGGGATCAAACCTGCACTGCAGAGGCTGAGGACAGCTTCACAGTGCGGTGCTCAACTGCCTGCGCCACCAGGGAGGCCCAGCCAGAGGGTTGCCTTCTGAAGTCAGGGTGTCAACAGGGTCTTTCTTTCTCTCTTAGCTTCTGGTGGTTGCTGGCAATCCTTGGCATAGCTTAGTATGCAAGTGGACAATTGGGTTCATTCTATCTTTTCTTTTTTTTAAAGATTTATTTATTTATGCATAGCAGAGCTAGGGTACAGGCCAGAGATGCAGGGGGTGAGAGGACTCACTAGAGACAAAGTGGGGAGCAGAACAGGCAGACTGACTGAAATACACTGCTGAGGGGAGCAGTGGGGAGACAGGAGAGGCCTGCTACGCCATGTGGGTTTCTCCCTGGCCAACCAGGGATCGAACTTGTGCTGCAGAGGCTGTGGATTGCTTCATAGAGCAGTGCTTAGCCCCTTGTGCCACCAGGGAGGCCCTTTTTTTCTTTTCCTTTTTTTTTAAAAATTTTATCGTGTATAATGCTGCTTTAACATTGGTGTTCAAGTCTCTGCTTTTAATTCTTTTGATATATACCCAGGTATGGAAATTCTATATTTAATTTTTTTTTAACAATTGCTCTATTGTTTTCTACAGTGGCTTACCAGTTTATTTATGTTTTGAACCAGCCTTGCATCCCAGGGGTGGATCCTTTTGTTCATAGTACATGATCATCGAGTTTGGTTAGCTAGTAGTTTGTTGAGGATTTTTACATCAGTGTTCATCAGGATATTACGTGTCGTTTTTTCAGATGTCTTTGTCTGGCTTTTATATCGGAGTAATACTCACCTTCTAAAATTAATTTGGAAGTATTTCTTTTTTTTTCTATTAAGAATTGGTATTCTTTGTATGTTTGTTAGAATTTGTCTGTAAAGCCATTTGGTCTCCGTGACTTTTCTTTTTGGGAAATATCTGATTAATGATTCAGTCTTCTTATTTGTTATTGGATATTCAGGCCTCCTATTTTTTTTTTCTATTTTATATATATTTACATGATTTTTCATTTTTTGCACAATGTATATATTTTCATCTTGGTTATAGTCCCCATACAATTCCCACCCCCCTTGTTTTGATCCGGCTCCACCCTCCCCGCACCCCCCCCCCCTAGTGTGTCTCTGGTTTATAATTGCTTGTTGCTTCCTATTTTTTATTCTAGTTTTGGTAGGGCCTCACATCTAGTGTTATTACCACAGTGCACCCACTACTAGAACACCAGTGGCCCACCACCATAGTCCATTGTGCTCCCTCCCCACTTTATTCTTTCCCGCTCGCCTCCCCCCGCCCCCCTCAATTCTGTAGTCAGCTTTCAAGGGTTAGTTTTTAAATTTCTTTTGTGTCACTTCTAACTGACACCATCTGGTATTTGTCTTTCTTCTTTTGAAGTATTTTGCTTACTATATAATCTCTTCCAGCTCCATCCATGTTGCTGCAAGTGGCATGAGTTTATCTTTTTTGATTGTGTATATATACCACATCTTTTTTTTTAAAAGATTTATTTATTGGGCCTCCCCGGTGGTGCAGTGGGTTGAGCGCCATGCTGTGAAGCTGTCTGCAGTCTCTGCAGTGTGGGTTCGATTCCCGGCTGGCCAGGGAGAAACCTACATGGCATGGCAGACCTCTCCTGTCTCGCCCACTGCTCCCCTCAGCAGTGTCTTCTGTTTGTCTACCTGTTCTGCTCCCTGCTCTGTCTCTGGTGAATTCTCTCACCCTCCCATGCCTCTGACTGCACCCCAGTTCTTGTATAAATAATCTTTAAAAAAAAGAAATTTTAAAAAAAGATTTATTTATTTATGCATACAAGAACTGGGATACAGGCCAGAGGTGTGGGGTTGGGGGGCGGTGGGGCGGTGGGAGGTTGGGGGGGTGGGTAGTGGCGGCAAGAGGATTCACCAGAGACAGAGCAGGGAACAGAATAGGCAGACTGACTGAAATACACTGCTGAGGGGAGCAGTGGGTGAGTCAGGAGAGGTCTGCTGCGCCATGTGGGCAGCTCCCTGGCTGGGGATCAAACTTGTGCTTCAGAGACTGTGGATAGCTTTACAGTGCTGTGCTTAACCCCTTGCGTCACCAGGGAGGCCCAACTGTTTCCACAACTTGGCTATTGTAAATAGTGCTGCAGTGAACATGGGAGTGCAATTTTCCCTTTGAATTAGTGTTTTTGTGTTGTTTGGGTAGATCCTATTATAGATTGTATGTTTCTAGGAATTTTTCTTTTCTAGTTTATCCCATTTTTGGAGGGATACAATTGTTTGTAATAGTTCCTTGTGATCCTTTTTCTGAGACATCTTCTGTAATATCTCCTTTTTCATTTCTGACTTGCTATTTTAAATTTTATTTTTTCGAAAAGTAGAACTGTCTTTGGGACCATCATTAAGAAGAGCTGGAACTAGTTCATGGGCCTGCTTCTGGGTCCATGACTAGAGTCATGCTGACAATGGGCCTTTTACTAGGGTTGCAGATGGTTATGGCTCCTGGCCCCTTCTGAAGTGTCCTCCTGCCAGGTCCTTGGGTGGGCAGGACTGTCTCTAGTACCATGGAAGAACAGCAGAGCAGGAACCAGATCACAGGCTTTTTCATGATCTGTAATCAGGACTGAGGTCTGTGGGCTTGTTGGACTTGTAACCAGGAGCCAGTGTCCTTTGGTGGATGAGTCTGGGACTGAGTCCGTAGGGGGACTGGGCTGTTTTGGTTTGCAGCCAGGACTCTGGTATACCTCCCACTCGGGTGTGAAAGTGCCTTCTCAAAGTGGCAGTCCTCAATTGTAGACTTCATCCGTGTTGGGCAACTGCGTTTATGAATTCAAGAACTTTTTTTAGGGGCACTTTCTTTTGTGCCTGGTTGGCTATTGTTTGTATGGGAGAGTAGGAGCCGAGTACCCCTATTTCACCATCTTGCTGATGTCACTGTATGCTTTTAACAAAGCATCCAGAATGAACCTGGTATGACAGTTCTTCTGATAACATTCTTCTAAGCTAATACCAGAGTCCTCTCAGGGGTCTATAATACACTAGTCTCTGTTTTGTTGTTGTTTTGATTTTTGTTTTTTAAATGTCATTTGCTATTCTGTTTCTTGCTCACTCAGTTTTAGCATATTGGCCTCCTGATTATTCTTTGAGCACATTAAGCCTGTTCCTACTTCAGCACTTTTACATTTGGTGTTCCTCTGCCAGGATTATTTTGTCCATAAATCCTCATGGCTTATTCTTTCATTTCCTTCAGGGTTTACTTCAGATATTAACTCTGCAAGATGCAGATTTCGGTTTCCTACCCTAATGTTTCATAACTTCATTCATTGCTTTATTTTTCTACGTAAAAATTGTAATGTTCCACGTATTTTACTTATTTATCTTGTTCATTATTGTCTGTCTCTCCCATTAGAACTTAATAAGCTTCATTGGAATAAAGATTTTTTCACCATTGTTTCTCCAGAGACAGAGCAGGGAACAGAATAGTCAGACTGACTGAAATACAATTCTGAGGGGAGCAGCGCTTGATTTTATAGTTTGTACTCAGTGTATGCTTTTGGATGTAGTTGAGTTTAATTGACTGTTATTTCTGTCCTATAAATTGAATGAATACATTGATAATAGCAAGTCCTCAAACCTAGGCTGTTACTGATGATCTACTGTGTGTAGATTGCTAAATTATTACTACAAAATTACTGAGATGATTTTCTTAGATGATAACATGATTTGATCATTTTAGGAAAGAAATTGCAGACTTTGAACAACAAAAAGCAAAAGAATTGACTCGAATAGAAGAGTTTAAAAAGGAGGAAATGAGGAAGTTGCAAAAGGAACGCAGAGTCTTTGAAAAGTATAGTACAGTTGTAAGAGCTTTTCCAGATAAAAAGGAACGTGAAGAAATACAGGTATGCCAGTTTTTTTTTACATTATACTATATTAGTAAAAACGATAATCTTATTAAGACTCAGAGTTTGATGTGGTAAAGAGAAATTGGGTATGTCTACTAAGCATTCATTGATTCAACAAATAATATTCTGAGGCATTGGCTCAGGAACATCTTTTATAGTCTGATAAATATATAATTTTTTGGTCTTTTTTTAAATTGAGGTAACTGGTTTTAGGGAATGATTTAAGGGAATAGGTTCACAGCACTTCAGGTGTATGTTACCACACTACACCCACACTCAAAACACCTATAATCTTTCACAGTTGGGTACCCCTCCCCTCTTTTGTTCTTTTCCCCCCTCAAATGGCCTCAATGCTGCAGTCATTTCTAAGGTTTGTTTTGTCTGTTCCTTTGTGTTTTTTTTTTTTTTTTTTTTTTTTAAAGATTTATTTATTTATTCGTCTATTTATTTATTTATTTATTTCTACAAGCACTGGGTACAGTCAGAAGCGCGGGAGGGTGAGAGAATTCACCAGAGCCAGAGCGGGGAGCAGAGCAGGCAGAAGGACCGAAGTACACTGCTGAGGGGAGCAGCGGGCGGCAGAAGGGTTCTGCGCGCCATGTGGGATCCTCCTCCGGTGGCCGGGGAGCAGCTGGGGATTGAACTGGCGCTGCAGAGTCTGCGGGCAGCTTCGCAACCCAGCACTCAACCGCTGCGCCACCGGGAAGGCCCTGTTCCTTTGTTTTTTTGGCATAATATTCTACATAAGAGTGAAGTCATCTAGTACTTGTCTCCTGCTGACTTATTTCTCTTAGCACAGTTCCTTCCAGTTCATCTGTTTTGTCATGTGAGAGGAGTTTTTCTTTTTTACTGCTGAGCAGTATTCTAGCTTGTATGTATGTTCGTGTGTGTGTGTGTGTGTGTGTGTGTGTGAGTATAGGTATACACACCCCATCTTTATCCACTCATCTGTTGTTGGGCACTTAAGTTGTTTCCATAACTTGGCTACTGTGACTAGTGCAGCAGTGAACATAAGAGTACACAAGCCTTTTTTTTTTTTTAAAGATTTATTTATTTATGCATGCAAGAGCTGGGGTGTAGGCCAGAGGTGTGGGAGGTGGTGGTGGGGGGAGGATTCACCAGAGACAGAGAGGGTAGCAGAGCAGGTGGATCTACTGAAATACACTGCTGAGGGGAGCAGCAGGCGAGACAGGAGTGTTCTGCTACACTGTGTTTGGGTTAGCTCCCTGGCTGGGGATTGAACTCAGGCTGCATTGGCTGGCAGTAGCTAGCTAGCACTGAGACTTTTGCCTCTGCACCACCAAGGAGGCCCCCCATACCTTTTGGAATTTGTGTTTTTGCATTTTTTGGATAAATACCAAAGAAATGTAATAGCGGGATCATATCGCAGATCTATTTTTAGTATTTTGAGGGACCTCCATATTGTTTTCCATAGGGGCTGTTCCAGTCTACATTCCCACCAACAGAGGGTTCCTTTTTCTCCATATTTTTGGCAACATTTGTTATTTCTGGTGGTCTTTTTGATATGGAAGTGAGGTGGTGTCTCATTGTGCTTTTAATTTGCATTTTCCTGATAAGTGATGATGAACATTTTTATTTGCCTGTTGGCAATCTGTCTCCTTTGGAAAAGTGCCTGTTTAGCTCTTCTGCCCATTTTTTGATTGGGTTGCTTTGTCAATTTTTAGCAATTAGTTTCTTGTTGCACTTACGATGTGCTTATGTTTTTTCACACTTTATTAGGTTATCTTTTCATTTTGATATACTTTCTTTTGTTGTATAGAAGCTTTTTTAGTTGGATGTAGTTGCATTTGCTTATTTTTGCTTTTGTTTTCCTTGTCTATGGTGCTCCCGTTGGCATCTCCAAAGGCATCCCTGAAGCCAATGTCATGGAGTTATTTTGCCTACTTTTTTTGTGTATTTTATGGTTTCTGGTCTTTCATCCAAATCTTTAACCTATTTTGAGTTAATTTTTGTGTAGGGTGTGAGAGAGTAGTCCTTTTTCTTTTCTTCTTTTTTTTTTCACTTTTGCATTTGACTGTCTAGTTTTCTCAACACCATTTGTTGAAGAGCCTTTCCTTTCTCCGTTGTATACTCTTGGATCCTTTGTAGCAGGTTAATTGACCGTATAAGTGTGAGTTTATTTCAGGGCTCTCAAGTCTATTCCAGTGGTCTGTTCTGTCTGTTTTTATTCCTATACATACTATTGTGATTACTATTAGCTTTGTCATAGCATTTGAAGTATGGGGATATTATATCCCCATTCCCCTTCTGTTGTTGTCAAGATTGCTTTGCCTACTCAGAGTCTTTGGTGATTCCATATAAATTTCAGTAATGTTTGCTTTCTTTGAAGAAGTCCATGAAACTTTGATAGGGATTGCATTCAGTCTATTTGTAGCTTTGGTAAGGTTGCCAGTTTAGCAATGTTAATTTTTCCTATCCATGTGCAGGAAACCTTTCCATTTTCTTGTGTTTTCTGTTTATTTTAAGACTGTTTTCATTGAATGTATCTTTCACCTCCTTTGTTAGGTTTATTCTTAGGCATTTAATACTTTTTGATGCTATAGAATGGAATTGTTTTCTTATTCTTCTACTTATTTGTATACAGGAAGGCAGTAGACTTTTGTCTTTTGATTTTATAACCTGCTGCTTTACTGATTTATTGTTTTAGAGTTTTCTTTGTATGCTCTTATCTGCAAATAGTGAGTTTTATTTTTTCCGCAATTTCGATTCCTTTAATTGCTTTCTCTTGCCTAATTGCATTACCTAGGACTTCCAATACTATGTTGAGAGTGACATGCTTGTCTGTATTTTCTCTTACAGTAAATGTTTTCGGTTTTTTTACCATTGAGTAGGATGTTAGCTGGAATTTCATCATAAATGAATTTTCATGATAAATGAATGCAGAATCTTTTTAACTGCCTTTGCTGCACCTATTCGTATGATTATAGGATTTTTCTCTTATCTTTTGTGGGTATGGAGTAAGAGTAGTCTAGTTTCTTTTTTTGCTAACTCTGTAATATATCCCACTTAGTAATGATGTATGATCCTGCTAAAGCATTGTTGAATTCCATTTGCTAAGATTTTGAGGATTTTTACAATATGAGGAATATTGGTCTGTAGTTTTGTTTTGTTTTTTTTTCTACTGTCCTTGTTTGTTTTTGGTATTGCATAATTTGGCTTCATAAAATGTGTTTGCAAATGTTTTCTTCCTCAGTTTTGGGGAAGAGACTGAGAAGGACATTTATTACTTTGTTTTTGAAGGTTTGGTAGAATTTACTAATGAAGCCATCTGGTCCTGGGATTTTGTTGTTTTAGAGACTTTTTATTACTGTTTCAGTGTCCTTTGTAGGTTGATTTTTTTTTATTTAAAAAATTTTTTTAGATTTTTTTATTTATTTATACAAGAATATGGGGTACAGGTTGGAGGTGCGTAACGGTGAGAGAATTCACCAGAGACAGCAGAGAGCAGAACAGGCAGACAGACAGAAGACACTGCTGAGGGGAGCAGTGGGCGAGACAGGAGAGGTGTGCCCTGCCATGGGGGTTTCTCCCTGGCTGGCTGGGAATCAAACCCACGCTGCAGAGGCTGTGGACAGCTTCACAATGCGGTGCTCAACCCGCTGTGCCACCGGGAAAGCCCTATAGGTTGATTTTTAGAGTGAAATATTTCAGTTCTGCTTTTACTAAAGACTTCCAAAAAAAAGAAAAGAAGGCTGATAATGGATGAGTTAACAAGGCAGGAAGTTGGAAATTTACCACTAATAATTCTGTTAATTTATTTGACCTCTTACATACAAATCTGTTAATTCTGTTTATTTATAATAATTTCTCTAGCCTGTATCATTACTAGGTGTTTAATTCTATTTTTATTATTTTTTTTAATTTTTTATTTTATTATTATTTTTTTTTAATAGAGGCATGTTTTTCTTTATTCATTTGCTTGTTTGTTTGTTTTGTTTATACATGCACTGGGCACAGTCAGAAGCACAGGAGGGTGAGAGAATTCACCAGAGCCAGAGCGGGGAGCAGAGCAGGCAGAAGGACCGAAGTACACTGCTGAGGGGAGCAGCAGGCGGCAGGAGAGGTCTGCGCGCCATGCGGGATCCTCCTCCGGTGGCCGGGGAGCAGCCGGGGATTGAACCGGCGCCGCAGAGGCCGTGGGCAGCTTCGCAACCCAGCGCTCCACCGCTGCGCCACCGGGGAGGCCCTAGGTGTTTAATTCTAAAACTCAAAAACTAATAGACCAAATTTTCAGTCCTATTCATTTCAAAATTAAAAATGAAAATGTTTAGAGGACTGTAGTAGTTAAAAAAAGTACTAATACTTTTCTAACTGTAACTATAAATGTGTAGGAAAAAAGTAGGCATATATATTTGCAAGAGAGGTATGTGCAGAGATTTCCAAGAGAAGACACAAAGACATAAATATAAGAGAAAATAGGTATATTGTACTTCATCAAAATTAAAACTTCAGTTTACTAAATGAAAGATTTAAAAATAACTATCCATTGCTTATAGCTTAAAATGCAAATTAGTCTTCCATATTTTAAATAATTTTTTGTGGAGAGAGATATGTGCCATTAGGTTTTTGTTTTTTTTTCTTATAATTTCTTTTTTTTATTTAAATATTTTATTTTGTATAATTCTTACATCATTTTTCATTTTTGCACAATGTATGCATTTTCATTTTGGTTATATTCCCCATACAATTGCACCCCCCCCCCCTTATTTTGACTCTAGTCCTTCCTTTCCCCGCCCCTCCCTCCCCCACCCCCAGTGTGTCTCTGGTTTATAGTTGCTTGTTGATTTTGATTTTTACTTTGTATTGATTAGTCTTTTTCCTGGTCTCTTATTTAGGTTTTCTAAATTCCTGCTATGAGTGAGACCATCCAGTATTTTTCTTTTTCTTTCTGACTTATTTTGCTGAGCATGATCCCTTCTAGCTCCATCCATGTTGCTGCAAACTGCATGTATTTATCTTTTTTGATTGCTGAGTAA